CTCAAGTGCATTGATATATTCCTACTCTGATCTTTTATTGGATTAACAATAGATTTAACCACTAATCTGATAATAAGAATTAGAAAGGTCAGGGATCTATGCATTATGACAATCTTCAATTGTAGAGAAACAAAAAAAATATGTTCCTACACTACTATTTTGTATTTGCTATTGCATATTTGTTTTTGCATTTGTCTGCACTAAAACAGACACTAAATTGGATTTTGCCATTCATGAAATGTGTATAACTATTTTTTTTTATGTACTTGGTCTTCAGAAATGTAGCACATTCAAGATAAATATTATTATTGTTATCATTTTTATTTCTGTTTTTAAAAGTCTTTAAAACATAGACCTGGAAGTGTACTTTTAAATGGTTCATCATTTTACATTGTGAGCTTTTTTGTTATATGAATGTTGGCCTACTTTCACTTTGGACAGACTTGATGAAAACAAACATGGCTGACAAAGCAGAATCAACTTAAAGGCTAAAATATGTGAAACAAAATGATGTAAAAGAAATTGTTTTATTACTGTTATTATGTGTTTGTGGTTAATCAAAACATATTTGTAAGAATACATTTATAAAAATCATTTTCCATGTAAAATTGAACTTTCAGTTTCGATATATCAAAAGGAAATGCATCTCACATTACAGATTAATTTCATTATTTATTTATATCTTTACTATTGAACAGAAAAAGAATATATCAACCTGCATAAAATAGATCTAAATCATATTTAAATGTAACAAATGAAATTGTGTTTGAATTAATTTTGTTCTATACATTTAGCTTATTTACTTTGAGATTAGTAGAACTAAGCGTATGCTGAGTTTTCAAAAACAATTTCTTTACATTAAAACTTTAACTGCTTATCTTACTATGTACATTGTATTTGTGCAACTAGGGTTTAAAGCTATATATTTATCCTAGGTTAAAGTAAATCATCTAGTTTAAGACAATTAGTCTGTGCCTTTGGTTGTTTAAATGCTAATCATTTTCAGTTAAGAAATTTAACTATGTGTTTATTGTCATAATATTACGCTGGTTTTTTAAGGTTTTCAGAACGTGTTAATATTAAGCGTTTCTATACAGATCATGTTGAAGTTTTTATTTTTCAAAGTAAAACTGTTGTTTATAGGGATGGCGATCGTTGTTTGATTGCAAAAACTGGTGTTGATACTTCCCCAGTTAATATGTTGCAAAGATACACCAATAGCGCAAATATAAGAGATGGTTCTAATGAATATATTTTCCGTGCGCTTACTTTTTGTAAAAAAAATAATTGCTACAAAATAAGAGGGTCAAAATCGTTATCTTACAGACGAGCTAGAGAGATTTTGCTTAACATGCTACAGGTTTAAACAAACAGCTTTTTGGGTAGCATAGTTTAAGATCTGGTGGTGCCACGACAGCTGCTAATATGGGCATTCCTGATCGTTTATTTAAGCGAAATGATCGATGGAAAAGTGATCGAGCTGAAGATGACTATGTTAAAGATGATATTGATAAAAAATTACTTGTTTCGAAATCTTTGGGAATTTAATCATTTGTTTAGCATTTCAATGCAATGCTTTATAAATTACTATTTTATGACCGTTCTTTGTTGGTCGATATACTAATGTATAACACAATGCACAAGACAATTCCTAAATAGCATTTTGTGTTTTGTTATCTTTTCTCAGAGTTGATTTACCTTATTAGATGGTAAATAATTTATTTCTGATTGAGAGAAACGAATTAGGAAATAGATATATTTATCATAGGTTAAAGTAAATCATCTAGTTTTAGTGAGTATCACCCTTTAAGGTTGTAGTATTTATGGTATTCAATTTTGCACGGATTTCCGTGCGTTTAAAGTATTGATAATCGTTGTTAAGATTTTTCCTCATTCGAAGTCTTTGTATTTGTGCAGTAAATACATACATTATGATTTCATAAATGGCTGAATCAGAAGATAGAATTAGAGATAGTTCGTCCTTCAGTGATAGAAATGGGAATACAGATGGCTCTGTAGATGAATCTTCCATTGAGCAATTTGGTTAAGATTTTTCCCTTATTCGAAGACTTTGCATTGTGCAGTAAACACATACATTACGTTTCCCAGCCCACCCACCCTTTTTTAGCATAAAGGAATTTTAATGTTTATTTTGAAAGAAAATGATTTGTTCATATTTAACTGTAAGGATTTGTTAAAGGTACATCACGATGCGAAAACGTATTATTTTTTCGTTGTTTAGAAAGGGCATTCTTGAATATATCAGTGTTTATTTTACTGTTTTTAGGGCATATTAAATGTTCATTACATGAAGATGTTAATTTAAAGGTCTTTAACTTTCTGGAAAGTATATCAGGACGCTAATATTAAAGTTAATTAGTAACAAAAATTATGAAAGCATTTATGTGGCTTACTGGGCCTTTAATTATTTTTCAGGTTTTATTTTACAAGTATGCTGTAGATTTTTTTTTATTTCTATATAATTGTGTTCAAATGCTCTCATAAACATTTGTTTTTCTCTGCAGCAATCGTTTTGTTGAAAGCTCAATTAATATAATATATGTTTAAAGTGATACAAAATATTGTGAATGGATTGTACTACTGATAAATGATAAAAATGTATATACATGTATGTTTGATAAGTTTATCATGAAATTATTTAGTTGAATTTGATTTACACAATTTGTGTTCGATATAATTATGTATAACACAATGCACAAGACAATTCCTAAATAGAATTAGGAAATAAATTATGCACTTTATGAATATGTTTACCCTTTGTTATCAATATTCCCTGTACAAAAGTATCAGAAAATCGTTCCGACTATACTACAAACTGCCACAGGGTGAGAAAAAGTGTAACCGGTCCGGGACTTGAACCCGGGATCCTTGGAATACCGTTACGCGACTCTACCTACTGAGCTATCCGGCCGCTTACACATCTTCACACAGAGAGTGGCGGAATGGCCGAGTGGTTAACGCTTCGGACTAGTAATCTAATGATCGCTAGGCGCATGTGTTCATACCCTGTCAGGGGCAAGTCGTTGTTTCCTTGAGCAAGAAACTTTACATTCATTGCTCAGTACTAGTTTGTTCCAGGAACAGATTCGAGAATGTGTCTATAAGCTCATAGCTTCCTACACAATCAAACTAAAATTTATTCTGTATAAACCAAATAGTGAACAGTTCTGAACCGTGACATACTCCCCTGCTATATTGAAATTCGTCCTCGAATTTCACAGAGTTACAGAGCAATGTAAATTAAACTCTGAGCAATATAAGTCATGGTCCCCCGTTGGGCGCCAAATGTCACAGTGTGAGAAAAACGCCTACAAATAAAACATTGATAATTTTAGGACACTTAAATACAACGGAAGTTTACAAGTATGGTGGCTGATTTGTGTCAGTCATGTTTTTGCCAAAAGAAAATTCTAAATTTAACAAGTTAAAATGGCGGGCCGTGGAGCAAAAACACGCTGACTACCGAGTGCGCGGGGAGAAATTTAAATTTTAAAAAAACAACGCCCTGCGGGGGGCGCGGAGCGAGATTTAAAAAATAAAACGCTAATTAGCGTGTATTCGCTCCCCCCCCCCCTTCCTCCATTTAAACTTGTTTATTATAGACTTTTCGCTTGGCGGGGTCGCGGGACAAAACAGGCTTATAAGCGCGATCATGGCGAAAATTGTATTTATTAAACTTCTTCCCACATATTAGAGTGTTATTTTCCCGCGACCCTGCGGGCGAAGTTTTATTCATTAATCATCGCCCCCGCCCTCCCTAATAAGCGTGTTTTCGTTCTGCGACCCCGTCATTATAATATATTGAGATTCGACTTTTCGCTTGGGGGGTCACGGGAAGAAAACCCGCTAATTAGCAGGGGGCGCACGGCAAAACTTTATTTACTAACATTCGCCCCGCACCTCCGCTAATAAGCGTGTTTTCGTCCCGCGACCCCGCCGTTTTATTTCTTAAATCACGCTCCGCGAAGTTTTATTTATTAATCTTCGCCCCGCGCCCTCGCTTATTAGCGTGTTTTCGTTCCGCGACCCCGCCATTGTAACTTGTTTATTCTCAATTTTTCTCTGAGCGGGGTCACGGGGAGACAACACGCTATTAAGTTTTGTTAGCGTGTTTTCGTCCCGCGATGTCGACCCCGTCGTTTTATTTTTAAATCTCGCTTTGCGGCCCCGCAGGGCGAAGATTTATTTATTTAACTTCCCCCGCGCCCTCGCTAATTGCACGCCCACCATTTTAACTTGTTAAATTTCGAGTTTTCGCTTGGCGGGGTCGCGGGGGGAAACACAAATGGCTCAAAGCAGCCACCATTATTAATGGTTATTTTACCTTTTGAATTATTACATACAAGTTGTTTTCATACACCCTGGGGCGTCCGTGGCCGAGTGGTTAAGGTCGTTGACTTCAAACCATTTGCCCCTCACCGCTGTGGGTTCGAATCCCGACTGGGACTTTGGATTCTTTCATGTGAGGAAGCTATCCAGCTAGCTAACGGAACGTCGGTGGTTCTACTCAGGTGCCCGTTCGTGACTGAAGTGATGCACGGAAGGGCACCTGGGGTCTTCCTCCACCAGTAAGGCTGGAACGTCGCGATATGACCTATACTGTGTCGATGTGACGTAAAACCCAAAAACACACACTCATACACCCGATGTTATAAATTTGTATTTGAATAAGATATACACGGTCTCGTCGCACATACTTTATCAGAGACTTTTATCATATAAACTTCGTTTTTGATATATAGCTCCATGACTTTCTGTAAAGCCAGTTTAGATTCGGTTTTAACGGATTTTATTAATCAAATATCATTTTCTACAAATATATCGGATGTTAAACCGTGAATGTATATGTATATATTTACTTAATTTAAGTATTTATCTATTTGTTTATCTATAGACGTCGTCATCCACACATGATCGTCGTGATTGTACCAGATGTGTGCCTTTTATACATTAAATTAATGAATGACTTAGCCTTCAGTTTTCATTTGCATTGAATAATTCTGTTAGAAAAAATGGAGGTTACTGGAAAGAGGGAAATAAATAATTTTTCTTGCATACCATGTGAAGAAAGTGATGTGTTGACTCAAGCGGATGGCTTTTGTACGAATTGTGAAGAGTATATGTGTTCTAGTTGTTTCAATGCACACAAAAAGTATAAGCTTAATCGAGATCACACTTTAATGGACTGTAATGAGGAAGTAACGCAGAGAGAAAGTTCGAGTGAATTTGAGAAATGCGAGCTACACTTGAATGAACCAGTAAAGTTTTACTGTGCACAGCATGAGCAAGTTGGTTGCGGAGATTGTATGGTCATAGGTCATAGGTCGTGCAAGGTCGATTATGTTCTTGATAAGGCAAATGATCTTACATGCACAAAAGAGCTGGAGTCTTTGACCAAACGACCGGAAATATGCAAGACTGAAGCTAAACGATTATTGTCGTCAATAAAGGACAATAAAGTTCAAGTTGACGATATCAATGATAAGTTTAAACAGGAAGTTAACTTGTTTTGGGAAGAGATGACTACACAAATCAACAACTTGAGAGATTTTATGCTTATAGAAGGCGAATGCATAAAGGACAGAGATAATTTGAGTATGACAAAGTTAGAAGGCGAAACTGAAAGTATAATAAATGATCTCAGTGTAATATCTGATTTATTTGAGTCAAAGGTGCAGAGTCCAAGTCAGCTCTTTGTCTGTTCTGTTTCACAAAAACATAAGTTGGATCGACTGATGAAGCAACTTAATGATATCAAAAGCAGAAACAAGATTGAGCCTTACGAATTCATAAAGGATAGCAAGATAACTAGCACTTTAGAGAGCCTTGGTCACCTGGGGAGGCTGCAGGAAAACAAAGATTTATATGGTATGGTTTAGTTATATATCTATAAATTTTGGTTTTACAAAAATCAAGGCGACATTCGTTTTGTGATTGATTGATAGACAAGAGGAGAAATCCGACAGTATCTGACTTTTTGGTAGATAGATAATAATTTCACAAATGTTTAGTCATCCAAATGTAGTTTGTTGAAATTAATATCTTAAAACACGTACAAAATGATTAAAGATATATTTGCTGCCCCTGTTTGGATGTACATTCGCGATTTAAAGTTTTCCCTGCTTAACGTTGACCCTCCCATTTTAATTATTTATTGAGTCACCCACGTTTCATTTTATGTAGACCTGGTAATAAAAAGAAACGGCAGAGCTTTTTTCACTTTTCACTGCTAAACATGGAAAAGTACACGTCCAAATTAGTTCAGCAGGCGATGTTGTTCACTCACTTAAGTCTCGGACAATTGGATTGTCTATTTCTGTTAAAGTACATTTTTTAATTCTGTTATGATTGCTTACATTTTAATATATAGATGTGAAGTGTCTGGGATTTACGAGTGTATTTTTTAGCTTACCTGTCGTCATGCGTCGTGCGTTGTACGTCGTCCACATTTGGGTTGTTAACACTCTAGCAGTCACAGTTTTAATTGGATCATAATCAAACTTTGTCAGAATGTTTGTATGAATGAAATACAGGTCTTGTTCGAGTATGGGTCATCACGGGTGAAAATATAGGTCACAGGAGCTAACAGTAGAAAACTCTTGCTAACATTCAAGTGGCTGCAGTTTTGATCCAAATATCCTGGAAATTGATCAAGAATGTTGTTTTGATCATTTCTATCAAGTTCGAATATGAGTTATCTCCGGTGAAAAGCTAGGTCAAAGAAGCTAAAACTAGAAAAATCGTGTTAACACTGTAGTTGCTGCAGTTTTCATCCACATATTCTTGATATTTGTCAGGAAAGTTCGATTGATGATTTCTAGGTAAAGTTCGGATATAGATCGTCTCTTGACAGAAAAACTGGTCACAGGAGCTTAAAATAGAGAAATTTTATTAACATTCAGGTGGCTGCAGTTTTGATAAAATATTCTTGAAATTGGTCAGAAAAGTTATTTTAATGATTTCCAGGTAAAGTTCGATTATGGGTAGTCTCGGTCAAAACATAAGTCACAGGAGCTAAAAATAGAAAAATCTTTTTAACACTTTACTGGCTGCAGTTTTTATACAAATATCTTGGAAATTGATCAGAATGATTGTTTTGATGACTTCGAGGTCAAGTTTGGATCTAGTAAAAGAACTAGTTCACATGAGCTATAAATAGAAAAATCGTGTTAACACTCTTGTGGCTGTAGCTTTGATAAAAATATCTTGGAAATCAATCAGGAAGGTAGTTTTGATGATTTCTTGGTTTAGTGTGGATATGGATAGTCTCTTGTCAAAAACTAGGTCACAGGAGCTCAAAATAGAAAAATCTTTTAACACTCTAGTGGCTGCAGTTTAAATCCAAATATTCTAGAAATTAGTCAGGAAAGTTGTTTTGATTACTTCTAGGTCAAGTTGAATTATAGGTCGTCTCGGGTCAAAAACTAAGTCACAGGAGCTAAAAATAGAAAAATCTTGTTGATACTCTAGTGGCTACTGTTTTTCATCAAAATATCTTGGAAATTAGTCTGAAAGTTCTAGGTCAAACCACCCAGAAATAGAAAAACCTTGTTAACAATCTAATGGTCACATTTTCGACTCAATTGTCATCAAATTTGGTTAGGATGCTTGTCTATTTAGTTCCCTGAATGAGCTTGAATTATGGGTCATCTCTGATAAAAGAACTGGGTCACATGAGTTAAAACTAGAAAAAATTTTTAACTCTCTAGTGGCTTGTTTTGTTATCCAAGTATCTTGGAAATTGGTCTAAAAGTTTGTTTTGATGATCTCTAAGTCGTGTTTGAATATGGGTCACCTGGGGTCAAGAACAAGGTCACATTGCCTAAACATGGAAAACCTTGTTAACACGCAAAATGTCACATTTTTGACTCAATTGCCATAAAACATGGTCAAGTATGGTTGTCTATGTAATTGCTCGGATGGGTTCGATGTGTCATGTGAGCAATCTAGGGCCATCTTGGCCCTCTTGTTTTTTTTTTTTGTTGTTTTTTTTTGGGGGGGGGGGTGTTGTTTGTTTTGTTGTTGTTTTTTGTTATTGTATCAAACGTTTGCCATTTAAATGAAAATGCATTTATAGTATCATACAATACTGCTTAAAAATTGCATTGACTCATACTCCACGCTTTTTTAGACATTTCAGCTTTCACCTTATAAGTATGAACAAAATCAAGTTTAAATGTTAAATTTTAATAACTTATCATCAATATAAGAACAATATTATATACGAAGACCATTGAAAACTTTAAAACGTGATAATTTCATGATATATTTTCTACTGTAAACGCCAATTCAATGACACATTTCTACTTTTAACGCCAGGCTCTTAGTTTAAAACGTATATTCAACAGAATGCAATGTAACAATTAATGGTCACTGAATAATATTTAACACAATGTTTGTAATAATTTTGTAGCTTTAAACAGCAGATTTGCAAAACGATGCGCTTTAACACATTAACTTTCCTCCGTTAGCCATTTTTCTAATTACAGCTACATTTTGATAGTTACATACATGATTTTTCTGCTCCACTGAAGCTGTCATAGAAATATTGGATCAGCTTTTTTGTCTTGATCAAGATTTGTAACCAGTTTATGTATTGGCTTATAATGAAATCGAAGGGTTCTGCGGTGGCAAATTCAACAACTGATCAACTTCACAGGGTTTTAAAAATAAATAGAAATTCAAGTTGCATGCCTCAAGATGAGCTTAAATATTTTTCAAGAAAATTCAGCATAATGGCCTGTTAAAAGATGAGAATGTGTAACTCTATTGTGTCATGTTGAAAATCTCAGAAGAACTACCTGATCATGATGGTTTATATGAGATAGAGATGGCGGCAAGTTTAGGGGGTTTATATCATTTGTTCCAATTTGATTTCCATTTAGATGATATAAGTTTACTTATTGAAGGTTACAAATCTCTATTTTGGTAACAGTGACGGCTTGATATTATAAGGTTTCTTTAACCAAACTTTTCATTTCCATGTACTCCTGTGTGGACTGGGATCCAACATAATTTCACTGCCTTGGTTTTTAATATTTCATGAAATCACAAGATACGCCGCTTTTCATGGAATGACACTACTGTGTCACATTGAAGGTTCCATGATAACCGCCGTATGAACACATCTGCGGATGTTTCTAAGTTCCAAATTTAACCATTTTGTGTTTAAATGTTGAATTCTGCTTAAGCCGGTGCTATGGGGCGTGGACGGTAACTTGCACTTTCCAGTACCATCCATGAACAGGCTCAATCAAACCGAACCTGCAACATTTTACAATTTTGCCGTGTTGGGCTTTCTTTAGGAATTTTGTTTTTCACTATTTTATCATAATATTATCAAATTTTCTATTTTTGATTGATATTAAATAACACGGAGAGAGGATCTGAAAAAGTCACCAATTTTTATGCTTTAAAATGTTTGACAAGGCTAAATCAATAGCTTTTGTTTCAGCCGTAAATATAGATACATTATCAGGTAGTCTCATTCACGATGTAAGATGATTTTTACGGACAACTGCACCTTCATTGCAACAAGCTTTGGAATCGTCCGTGTAAATATGAATAAAATCTAGATGATCTTTGAATTTTGAAAAATAAATGTTCTTTAAAAACGTCAGGAGAAATGGATGACTGTTTTAAATTTGAAAGACTAATTTGAACTTCTGGAAAATTTAAGTCCACAGAGAAACATCCTCAACATTTCGAAGAATATACTTTGGATCTACTTTAAATTTTTCTAAACTATCTTTTAAACGAAGGGGCTATCTTCCTTTAGTTTGTTAAAAATATTGTCGCTATAATTTGGTTTAAATATAACTTTTATAGCAGAACTTTTACCTTTTACCAGTTGATGATACCCTAGCTGCATATTGAACATAAAGCTTTCTATCAGAAGTTGAACCACGTCTTACTTTAAAGTTTCTATCGGCAAGAAAGGTAGAAATAAAGAGTATACTATTTAATGGGAGAAACAGACAAAATTTTCATTTTTTCATTTTGAATTTTTCATTCATGATTTTGTAAATGTATTTTTCGCCTTATTAAGATTAAAATACTGGTTTCCTAACGTGACCCACGTGGGTCAGGTTAGAGCGTTTAGATTTCACAAAAGTTGTCAAAGTGAACTCTGGAAACGTTAGATAATATGTCAAATGAATGACTTGGACTTGATTCAATCATCAAATATCTGTTATTGTAACTTCAAGGATGTGTTGAAGTCACATGACTTGTTTTAAAACTACTTGGTAATTCAGTTGGCGTCTAAATTTCGTTCAATATATACAGATATATGTACGCTTAAACCCCAAAATATATAGAATTTGAACAGAAATTCAAGCTGGGACGACAAAACAATTCATTTTAGTGTGATTTGAGTACATAAGATCATCTTATTATTTTAGTCATTAATTTTCCTGAGTATCCCTTTAATTTAGCATCCTTTATATCTTTAAGAATACCAAGTTTCCATGTTGTATCAAAAGGTTTTACAAGATCAAATTAAATCAAAGCCAAGTGCTGTTTATTTATTTAAGATTTTCTTATAAAAATTTTGGGGTAAGCATGATGATTGTTTGTACTATGTTGTTCACGGAAATATGACTAAAAGCTAGAAATAATTCCTTTAACTTCTAAATACCATACCAGGGGATTATTTACTATTATATCAAATATTTTGCATAAGAAGCTTGTAAGTGAAATTTGACGGTAATTTGCAGGGTCAGTGCTATCCGTTTCAGATTAAGGAATTGGAATAACCTTTCAAAATTCACCAGATAACGAAATTTTTGTTAAATACCTTAAGAAGCAGGAAAGGTACAAAATGGCAGTAATTTATGAGATTGCTGTGAAAGGTGTTTAAGAAATCAATAGTAAATGTCATCTGAACATGCTGCTGTATCTTTTGCTTTATTGATCGAATCAATTAAATCTTTGAAAGAGAGAATTGTGAATTGTGTCATTTGCTGAAGTAAAACTTAATGTTCTCCTATAACTTCAGGAACTTAATGCTATAGAAACTCGATTGAAATTATTATTTGCAGATGATTTTTTTGTGTTTTTTTTTGCAAATTTTTTCTTAATTACCTTTTGTGTTTTTGCATCTTGGCAATTATTAGATTTCAATTGACTTAGTAGTGGAATATATTTCTTTTATTTACCGCTTATCTATCAAACTATACCCCATACTTTCTTTATAGGGATATTTGCATTTATATCTGAAACTTGACTTCCATGACTTTGCAAATAGATGATGAATTGATCTATTAGCTATGGCTTTAAATATTTCATGATGTTTTAGGTTTTCGGATGTTGGATAATGCTCAAATTTTTAAAAAGAATCTTTCTATTGACTTACGGCTTTCTAACATTCATCATAGAACCATGGTTTCTTTATTTCGCAATGAACTGTACGCACTTATTTTGGTGGCGAACAATCTGTTATCATGCTAAAGAAAAGGTAGCTGCAGCTATTTTATCAGAATTAAAATCAAAATCGGTTTGATTTTTTTTTTTTTTTTTTTTTTGAAAATCAGATAACAGTAAGAAATCATTAAAATCTCCAATTGAATCGGAAGGTAGCAAACTTTTGTAAAATGATAAAATATACCATATAATAGTTTACAAATGATTGTTTGATATACTTGATGGCTCATTTGCAGCCAAGTAAAAGTGAAACTTAGCTTTTGGTAATTAATTTGATTTTTCATACATTTTTAACGATAAAATGGCTAAAAATTTGTTATTTTATTCTTCTTTTTCACAAAAAAATCAATTAATTTAAGAAAAAAACAGTCCATTTACAATATATATGTTTAACAAATGATGAGAATATCCTAATTTGGTAGTTTTAACATAAATATACGAGTATGTGAATATATAATAAAATTCAGCCGCCATCTTGGCGGCCATTTTGAATTTTGGGAACCACACTGATTTTGAGATTGGGGTCTCGATGAAATATGATGGACAAGATATCTGACTTTAACAAAAACAAGATATGTTTGTAAAACATGTATGCCCCCTATGGGCGGCCAATTAGTCATGTGATCAGGTTATTATGCATGACTTCTGACCCAGTGAACAAAAAAATAATAAGAGTTATCTACTGGTCATGACTAGTCACAAGGTAATAATTATTGTGACCCCATAGGTTGTGTGCAGCAATTTAAGTTATTACAAATCTTACCAAATAATATATGCATAAATTTTATGAATCATGTAGGCCTCATTAATGACAGCCAAGTTGTAATATTACATAAGACATTCAAATGTTTATACCAAAAGCATTTTTAGTTTAATATAAAAATATCAACCAAGGCAACTTGAGTTGTTGAGTTATTGGTCAGAAACCGTCATTTAGTACAAGGTCAATATGACACTGACCCCTTGACCCCAAAATCAATAGGGTTCATCTACTGGTTATGACCAATCATACCAAGTTTGAAGTTCCTAGGCCTAAGCGTTCTTTAGTTATTGATCGGAAACCGTTTTTACCTACAAGATCAATGTGACCTTGACCTTGATCCCTTGACCCCAAAATCAATAGTGGTCATCTGCTGGTCATGACCAAACATCATACCAAGTTTTGAAGTTCCTAAGGCCTAAGCGTTCTTTAGTTATTGATCGGAAACCGTTTTTGCCTACAAGGTCAATGTGACCTTGAACCTTTGACGCCTTGAGCCCAAAACCAATCGGGGTCATCTGCTGGTCATGACCAATCATCATACTAAGTTTAAAGTTCCTAGGCCTAAGGGTTCTTTAGTAATTGATCGGAAACTGTTTTTGCCTACAAGGTCAATGTGACCTTGACCTTTGACCCCTTCACCCCAAAATCAATAGGGTTTATCTTCTGGTCATGACCAATCACCAGACCAAGTTTGAAGTTCCTAGGCGTAAGCGTTCTTTAGTTATTGATCGGAAACCGTTTTTACCTACAAGGTCAATGTGACCTTTGACCCTTTGACCCCAAAATCAATAGGGGTCATTTTCTGGTCATGACCAGTCACCATACCAAGCTTGAAGTTCATAGGCGTAAGCGTTTTTTAGTTATTGAACAGAAACCGTTTTTATCTACAAGGTCAATGTGACCTTGACCTTTGTTCCTTTGACCCCAAAGTCAAAAGGGGTCATCTGCTGGTCATGACCAATCACCATACCAAGTTTGAAGTTCCTAGGCGTAAGCGTTCTTTAGTTATTGATCGGAAACTGTTTTTACCTACAAGGTCAGTGTGAGCTTGACGTTTGACCCCTTGACCCCAAAATCAATAGTGGTCATCTGCTGGTCATGACCAATCACCATACCAAGTTTGAAATTCCTAGGCTAAAGCGTTCTTTAGTTATTGATCGCAAACCTTTTTTACCTACAAGGTCAATGTGACCTTGACCTTTGACCCCTTGACCCAAAAATCAATACGGGTCATTCGCTTGTCATGACCAATCATCATACCAAGTTTGAAGTTCCAAGGCCTAAGGGTTCTTTAGTTATCACTCGGAAACCATTTGGTCTACGGACCGACGGACAGACAAATGCAATGCAATATACCCCCTCTTCTTTGAAGTGGGGCATAACAAAGTGGTTTGCTTGTAGAATTATCTGAACGATTCTTGTATTTTACCCTCGGATGGCCTCTAACTAGGGAGGAGATTTGGTTTTTGGGGTTTCTTTGGGGTTGTTGGGGTTTTTTTTATTTGTCGTTGTTGTTGTTGTTTTAAACAGTGCACTTATCTTTACAAAACTGGAGAAAAAGTAATGCAACCTATATTTTTAAAGGAAAAATATAGTATATGATAATAGAGGATATTGCATAAGTTGAGGTTTAATATTAAATTTATTGAATGAGTTGAATAAAATCATATTATGCGAGCCTCTGGAGTATATACGAATATAATATTCTATTTATCACATATATAGAATAAGATCTGAAAACTGTAAAAAAAGATTCATTTTTCATTGACGTACCTATAGTGTAACGCTTACATTAGCGCTATTAAACGCTATGTTTTTATATAGCGCAAATGACGTCACGTCAAAGTGTTATTACCCTAGTGTAATATCTTTTTTTTATTTAATGGCTATATTACACTCCTGCGCCGCGGTTTATGTGATAATACATTTTATGGTTCACTTAATTATCATTAAAAACAATACATACCCACTTCCATTCTCTTGATGATTAAATGTTATTTATTCATTTCTAACCGTCGGCTTATATTTTAATTTAAACTTTTATTGCTCCTTTCCACTTACGATGAGCCTGTGTAACTTATATTATTCGTTAGCATGTAAATCGAGTACATTTCTCAGTGTAATAACTGAATATTTTAAACGTAATAAGCAAATATTACAGACATGAAGAAATAGAAATCCTGAGTAATCTTTTAAGTTGTTGGCATAATTCAAATTTCAGATCAAGAAGATATCATAGAACAAGGAGTTTCAAAACCTTTAAAGACATTTGAAGATACAGCAAGAAGCGTGAGTCCATATCATAAATTGAATCTGTCCAAGCTCAATGAAAATAAAGTGATAATTTGTGATCGCTCTTGCTTTTTGTCGTTCTTACCTTTTGTTAAGATAACCATCACAATATACCTAATCAAAGTCAGTGTACATGTACATGTATTTTGTCAAAATATGAGGCCATTTCAATAGAGCAGTTAATCCTTAAAAAAAATTGTAAAGTTAGTTCCCTTTTTCTCAGGTTTAAAGGTTTTATTTCTCAAATATTATTTCAAAAAGGTTTTCATTAAAACAAAGGAATATTTGTTGTATATTAAATTGGAATTGATTTCAATAGTGCATGTAACATATATTTTGCTCAGTTATGTTTTGAATGTTAGAATGTCTTTGTTTAATTTTTGTTACACTGCATTCTTTAAATTGTATCAAATGTATTCTTTTAAGACGTATTTAATGTTAATGTTAGATTACACTTGAAATATTGCTTTACCACCAAGAACAGGTACGTCAAGCCTTTTAGAAAAGACGCACAATTATGAAGATGCGATAACTATATGCAAACTTTGCATCTTGGTAATTTTTAAATACACAGATACTCAACCAAAAAAGAAACCTGGCAATATGTTATTTATTGAATATCTGAACATATGATCGGGATAGAGTCAAACCAAAGATGGGACATTATACTGCAATGTCTTCCTGAAGAATTTAGGAAATGTGATTTTTCTAGGGCATGCGTCAAAATGTTAAATAACGTCGAATGTAAGGTAGGGGTCAAAACTGATTTTGGCATATTAAAGCTTTTGCCATTAGGTTGATTTTCAGTGGTGATAACTTGAAATTTCTTGCGAGTTTGTCTGATAATCGAAGTTCTAATGCACCCTTGTACCTGTTATTACAACATATAGCTCTAATAAATTCTTCAATAAGTCTTCTCATCGAGTTTAAGAATTGTTGTACCAGCTGATTAGGAGGTTGTCCCACTCCCTGACAAGGGCATTTGCTTGCTCGTTTACAGTGCAACGTAAACGTCGCAGGTTAAAATTTGTGACGTAAGTGCGTCAAAACGATGTACCAATCGTCCTGTTGGCTAGTTGCTTTTGGTCTATCTGACTTAAGCGATCATGCACATCACCGGTCAGCCTAAAGCGCATGACAAGCTCATGCACTGTGTTGCGACAGTTAAATATCCTGCTTAAGTCAACGGCAGATACGCCAGCTTAAAGCGTACTGATAGCCCGATTTCTTTCGGTCTCTGATAAACGTAGCATTTTGTAACCATCAAATGTCAATGGTGATTTATACTGTGTAATCACTTTGTGAATGTATGGCGCTTTCGTTCACATTCTATTGCGTTCCATTCATTGAGCACGGACGTTATGTGCGAAAGCGGCTATTTGAAGATTATCAAATTTCGGTTAGCATCAAGCTAGCTAGAGTTTACACACATATTGTGTATCGAAAATCTAAGGATATGAGATAAATATGTTTTTATTAGATGCCCATGTTAAAAAGATATTGCAAGTGTCCGGTTTCTTTTTTGGTTGAGTAAACTTTAATTTAATTTGCCTTAAACATTATTTTTTCTTTTTTCTTTGTAGGCGGTTTCAACACCATTACTAGAAAGGCAGTTGATATGTAGACATGTGAAAGTGGATGGCGAATATCTCACGTATAATTGTAGCCTTTGATAGAATTGAACCGTTATAGTGTTGTTGTTGTTTTTTCTTTTGTTGTTGTTGTTGTTGTTGTTGTTGTTGTCGTCGTCGTTGTTGTTTTGAAGGTTTTTTTAATCAAATAATCATATCCCAATTTCTCGTTTGGAAAAATGGAATATACAATTTAAATGATTATAAAAAAAACTTTACATGATCATATGTAATGTCGAATATAGATAAAAAAAATTCAATCAGGTTTTCTTTTTATATTTGTACTTTTAAATTTATCCTTTTAAATATTGTGATGAAGCATAAGTCATTGTCTTTATGACTTTATTTTTATATAAGAATATCATTATACGCATACAATTGCAGTTATGCAGACAATGGAAACGGAGATGTTGGATTGTACGTTGACAAGAATGAAATAGTGGATGGAACATACTTAGAGATTGAGATATTGAGTTTAGGACGGCGTGGAACAATAGGTATGAAAAGGTTCATTTATTTTTTGACAACAATGTATTGTTAAAATGCTAAACAATGTACAAATGCAAAATATTCTCTTTCTTTTTGCAATAAATTTGCTTTATTAAAAAGTTAGAAATTACGTTTTATACTTTTTTCACCAAAGATTCACAACGCTATATGTAACGATTTTGTTTCACTTATGTTTATTATATAAGCTTTGGGATTGGTGACAGACGATTACCCAGCAAATAAGCACCTTGGATGGAGACAGAACTCAATAGGATATCATGGGGACAATGGCCAGTAAGTTATTCTATGAAAGAAAGAAAGTCATGAGCAAGAAATTACACATAGAAAAATTGCATATACATAAACCCAAGAGTGATAGATTTTTTTCACATTTTATTGTCCCTTATGAAAGTCTTATTCAGAAAGTCTATAATACTCACGATAATTTCGGTAGGAAAGGTGATTCTTTTTGCCATTTCTTTTTTTTATTTTGGAATATATACTCATACAATTGGCCATTTCATACTTCACGATAACAACCAAAAGTCGGTATTTTCTTTATATCAATGATGTTTTTGAACCTCAATAAAAGACGTAAGGTCTGGAATAAGAAAGCTTGTGTGTCTGTTCGTTGATAATTGTCTGTTGGTTTCATGATTTTGGATGATAACTCAAACTTTTATTTTTAATAATTTTTGGTACAGATTTATAACTCATGAAATACGAGATACAGATAGAGTTCAAATTCTGCTTAGAGTTATATTTTTTCAGTTAGTTGTTGTCCCTTTTTCTCTAGTTTGATTTTACAAAAATAAGATTTCCAGATGATAAATTTTAATCAGATGATGGATTGTAATAATGTTTGGTACACACAAGTAACATCATAAAATATAGACCGAGTTTCAATTTTAATTCAAACACTTAATTGTCATGGCCTTTATTTCTATGTTTGTATTTTACACAAAAATGTTTTCGGACGATAAGTCTTTAACTGATGAGTGATCCAATGCCATTATACATTATTTAACTAGAAATCGATGTTTTACATATGTTCAGAAAACAATGTAATGATAGTACAACATATTTATAGAAAACAAGTTATTGATAGTGCTGTTTGTTCAAAAGTTGTAAAAGGATGATTTTAAAATCGTTTATATGAAAACATTTTTGCAATGTTTGTGTTGTTAAATCTTTCAGGCTTTTTCACAAAAGAGGAAAAGGAACTCAGTTTGGACCGACATGGCACGTTGGTGACAAGATTGGTCTCAGGACATACATGTTGATTACGTGCCGGTAACACTGCTATACAGCGACCACAGGAAATAGCCCCTGAAATAATCGAAAACTAAAGTAAAAAGGCGTATGTCGAGTTCACACGTGGTAATGTTTCAACCATTATAACTTAATCGATCTTTCCAAACAATTTTGTGAAGCTGACTATATCTGGTTTTAGAGAAAAAAAAATTTCTGCAAATAGAATACTTTTTGTTAAATTGGCGATAAATTGTAGCGAATTTGTTAACATTTGCGTACGATGTTGATATTAACCACTAAATCAAGCCCAAAACGCATTTACTGTATCAAATTGCGCTTCTTATATTTGAGTGATCACTCATCAGCTCGAGCTGCTTTTAGCAAAAATTTGCGAAAAACAGTCTTGCCTTGTGTACAGAGTCTGGCACGTTTGTGTACGGGATGTAAATGGAAACTATTTGGCAAGTGTATGGGGTGTAGTAGGTGAACGAATGCTATTTCCTGCAAAATAAACTTAACTACGAGCATGTACGTACGCTGATGAAGGAATAACGATTGATGGCGGGAGAAGGGATCGTATTGTGAAACGGTTTAATATTTTTCAAGGGATAAAATAGTAAAATAAGAAATACTTAATGAAATATACGTAACATGAATATAAATAGTAGAAAACCGTTTCGTTCTGCTAGACAACATTTATATGTGACTTGGAGTTTATAGGAAAAATATAAAACTCTATAGACCTTACTTCAGTACAGATTGGTAGACTTTTACAGAAGAATTGTATAATTTGTCTTAAAGGGAGACACAGGCAAAATTTTCATTCCTTAGTTTTGAAATTTTCATTCATTATTCTGTAAATGTCCTCAAAATGAATACACTAAACAGTCAAAGGAACAAAACTTTTCTCCATATAAAGAATAAAATGGTGTTTTCCTAACTTGACCCGCGTGGGTCAGGTTAGAGCGCTAAAATTTCACAATAGTTGTCACTCTGTACTCTGAAAACGTTAAAAAACATGTCAAATCAATTATTTAGACTTGTTTCAATCATACAATATCCACAATATTTGTTATTGTAACTTCCAGGGTTTGTTCAAATCGCATGACTTGTTTTTAAACTATTCGGTGATTCTGTTCGCGTCAAAATTTCGTTCAACATGTATAGATATATTTAAACTTCAAACCCAAAATATATAGAATTTATACAGAAATTCATGTTGGGACCTTAAGAAATGTCATTTAAGGGTGATTTGAGTACAGAAAATCATTTTTATATTTTTGCCATTATTTTGCCTGAGTATCCCTTTAAACAAAAATAAGTATAGCCTAAAAGCTGTGCATTTCAGTACATTCCAAAGACATAGAAGATATTCAAGTTTTTTCTATAAATACATGATTTATTTTCATCGAGTGGTATGAAAATAAATATTTCATGAGTGGCGGTAGCCACGAGTGAAATGTGGTTATTTTCATGCCACAAGATGAAAATAAATCATGTATTTATAAAAAAAAACTTGAATTTTCTGTTTATTATATACATTTTTCTCTTTTTTTGCGATAAATTTTGAAAGACTTTCCCTTAAATTTTGTGTACTGGCAGAATTTAAAAGAAAGTAGTCCGGCGAGACACCAGTGAAAATACGGAAAATATGTTTCACTGCAGTGAAAAATAAATTTTTACAGTGAAAATACGGAAAATGAAAATATGCATTTTATTTCATCAATATTTCTCAATATTTCATTTATAAGTATATAATAAAGTCCATTCTTAAAGCAATTTTTTTGGCGATTGTTCCTTTATTTTCCAAATATAAAGATATAATATACATTACAACAAATTACATAAAAAAAAGTAAGAGTGTGTGATTCAGCAAATGATATAGAACATATCAAAGTACATTGTGTGATTGCTTTACTAATAGTTGGTCTGACTCTCTCCTTCGCAGATAACTTGAGATTAACTCATAAGACTGTTAAATTTATACGAGGGCATCTGGCGTGAGTGTATCCATATTGTGTAGATCATAAGGGGTGTTCTTTGGAAGTGTCAAATCTCAAGTTATTTGCTAGCCTCCTCTCACAAAAATAATATATAAAAGAACAAAAAACATATCATAAACAATACATGAATTGACTAGATTTGTTTTGATTTAAATAGTGTCCAACTGTTTTCGTAAGAAAGCAAGTGGCTACCTGGAATAACACGTTTTCACGTTAAAGTATGCATTTAAGTAGTTAGTTAAGTTAACATTCATGACCTTGTCACATTTCTTACATCAGAATGACTGTCAGCTCATAAAAGACTATAAACTTTGAAAATATTTGACTGCCAGACACCGTTAACATTCTACTAAACCCCATACATTAAAACACTACATCCCGTTTATCTTAATTTGTTTTTCTTGCTAGACATTGTACAAAAGGCAACACTGTTGTTTTTTGGTGTGTTTTTTGGGGGGTGCAAATTTTGCAAAACGCAGCTCGAGTTGATGGGTCACCACTCAAATACAAGAAGAGGGAAGTCTAATTTTGTACTAAAGACGCATTTTGATACAAAAATGCGTTTTGGGCTTGATTTAGTGGTAAATATCAACAGCGTACGCAAATGTCAACAACTACGCAACAAATCATCGCCAATTTAACAAAAAGTATTCAATTTGCAGAAAAAAGCATTCAGTAAAGTTCTTTCATTCTGTAATGAAATAAAGTCTACTGAGCTTTATATTTTTGTTACATATAAAAAGTTGTCTGGAAAGACGGAAACGGTTTACTACCATTAATATTCATGTTACGTTAATGTAATTAAGTTTTTCTTATTTAACTTTTTATCCTTTGAAAAATGTTAAAATATTTCACTTTACGATCCCTGCTCCCGACATCGATAGCTATTCCTTCATCAGTGTACGTTCATGCTCGTACTTGTTTATTTTTGCATAAAAAAGCATTCGCGTTTACCTTCTATACCCCGTGCACTCGCCAACAGTTTTCGATCTATACCCCGTACACAACCATGCTAGACTCTGTACACAAGGCAAGACTGTTTTTTGCAAATTTTGCTAAAAGCAGCTCGGGTTGATTGGTGACCACTGAAATACAAGTAGAAGGAAGTCTATATTTTGTATAACAGACGGATTTTGATACAGAAAATGCATTTTGAACTTGATTTAGTGGTAAATATCAACATTGTTCGTAAATGTCACAAATTATCGCCAATTTAACAAAAAGTATTCAATTTGCAGAAAAAAAACAAACACTGCTCTAAAACCAGATTTATTCAGCTTCACAAAATTGTTCAGTTTGGAAAGATCGATTAAGTGGTGATGGAGAAATAAGCTGAAACATTACCTCGGGTAGACTTCAGGTACACCTTTATACTTTCGTTTTCGATGTTTTGAGGAGCTATTTCCGGTGAACGCTGTACAACAGTGGGTAAAATACTATTGATACTATAATTCATATAAACGTTTTATTATAGTCCGGGTAATTAGATATCTTTGTTAATATCCTGTTGTTATATCGAAAATGGGTCAACCTAAAAAAAGGCAGGAATTAATTTAAGTAACCATACAGTTTCAAATTTCAGTTTTGAGATTTTGTTTTATTATATAATTAACTATTTATTTTGTTACGTTTTTCATTCACAGAATGTTAGAATCTATTACGTTTACTTAGTAAGATCAAAATGAAAAGTCATCTTACCTGGAAAGATAAAAATCTAGTTATAGAAATGTAATGATTTCTTTTGATAACGACATGGTACAAGAAATACCAGTCTGTCGAATAATAATGTTGAATAATGTATAAATATAAATTTTATTTAAAGGGACGATCGTTTTCGGGAAATTATGAATGTTCTTTTTACGAGAAATGGCAAAGAGGTAAAAATGCTTTGAAACAATATGCTTTAGATTAAGTGTTGGTTTTACCAGTACAATTTAACATAACCCAATCTTATTATATACATGTACGTATACCTTAAATTTATGTAAAAAAAAAACATTCGGAACAGAATGGCTAGAACTATACACTTTCATACTTTAAGCTTTTCCTTGTTTCCCATTCACATTTTTATTAATCTATTAAATTATTAAATTAGTTCATGCTTTATTGTTTTCCTTCAGGTTGGAACAACGACAATTGACAATGTCAATTTTCGCTTATATCCTGCAATTGGGATGCAATCTTCTGGAGAGAAGGTCAAAGTAATTTTAGATGCAAAGAGGCATAGATGAAAGCCAAAAATACTTAAAAGTAATGGTAGTTGACTAGAATGTAAAGTCTTTTAGGCCGTTAATGACACAAAAATCGTTTGTGTCATCTAACTACTTCAGTGAGGGCTCACGTAAATTGTCTTAAGACTTTAAAAGTAACGACTTCAATTGATTCTTAAGTTTAAATAACAAAT